TGGGGATACTGTGGGGACATGGTGGGGACACCGTGGGCACACCGCGGGGACACCGCGGGAACACCGCGGGCACACCGCGGGCACTCCGCCGCTACCTGGTGCACGTTGATGGAGGGGAACATGTTCTGGAAGACGGTGGCCATGAGCTTGACGTGGATGTGCGGCAGGCCGAAGTTGCTGAGCACGAGGAGCGGCGCGTGCCGGAACTGCTGCTCGTGCATGCGGTGCCGCCGCAGCGCCGCCACCACGTCCCTCACGAGCGCGTACTGCCGGCGGCGGCGGCACCGGCATCAGCACCGGCACCGGCGCCGGCACCGACACCGGCATCAGCGCCGGCACCGACACCGGCATCAGCGCCGGCACCGGCACCGACACCGGCACTGCCATCAACACCGGCACCAGCACCGGCACCGACACCGGCATCAGCACCGGCACCGGCACCGACACCGGCACCGACACCGGCATCAGCGCCGGCGCCGGCACCGACACCGGCCCCGCCATCAACACCGGCACCGACACCGGCATCAGCGCCGGCACCGACACCGGCACCGCCATCCCGTCCCGTGTCCCTGTGTCCCCATCCTGTCCCGTGTCCCTGTGTCCCCAGGCCACAGCTTCATCCTGGCCCATGTCCCCATCCTGTCCCGTGTCCCCGTGTCCCCATCCTGTCCCGTGTCCCCAGGCCACGGCTCCATCCTGGCCCCTGTCCCTATCCTGTCCTGTGTCCCTGTGTCCCCATCCTGTCCCATGTCAAGGTGTCCCCATCCCGGCTCGTGTCCCTGTGTCCCCATCCCGGCCCGTGTCCCTGTGTCCCCATCCCGGCTCATGTCCCTGTGTCCCCATCCTGTCCCGTGTCCCCATCCTGTCCCGTCCCCATCCCGTCCCGTGTCCCTGTGTCCCCAGGCCACAGCTTCATCCTGGCCCATGTCCCCATCCTGTCCCGTGTCCCCAGGCCACGGCTCCATCCTGGCCCCTGTCCCTATCCTGTCCTGTGTCCCTGTGTCCCCATCCCGGCTCATGTCCCTGTGTCCCCATCCTGTCCCGTGTCCCTGTGTCCCCATCCCGGCCCGTGTCCCTGTGTGCCCATCCTATTCCATGTCCCCATCCCAGCCCATGTCCCTGTGTCCCCATCCTATCCCATGTCCCTGTGTCCCCATCCTGTCCCATGTCCCCATCCCAGCCCATGTCCCTGTGTCCCCATCCTGCCCCATGTCCCCATTCCCATATTCCCCTCCTATGTCCCTATTCCCCTCCTAAGTTCCCATTCCATGGCCCATCCCGTGTCCCCCTCCCGTGTCCCCATTCCCAACTTGTGTCCCCTTCCTGTCCCATGTTCCTGTGTCTCCCTTCCCATCCCGTGTCCCT